CACAAATATTATCTGCTTATCTCTCTACCTGCTCTTTTCGAATGTAGCATCTCAGGCCTCAATTCAAGGTTAGAATTTTACTTACCAATAACATCAATTTTAGTTTTATATTTTATTAATTAGGTTTATGTCATCCTTGTATATCTAAACTAAAAATATGAAAAACAGATGTTTTATTTCTTTTATGTAGAGAATATGTTTTAGTTCTTTAATTTTTTTTTTGTAAAAAAATTGGACTAATCAACTAAGTAAATATATGTTTCGTTTGAGTAAAAGTTTAATAATTTGTGTTCAATTTCAAATGATATATTAATTTGTGTGTAGTGACTTTATTTTATATTTTTATAATTTATGTGATGACATAATGTATGATTAGGTTACAATATTAATTAAATTATAGATGGAGAATATAATGAAATAAGTTCTTTACTCATATCCAACACGATTTTATATAGTTATTACATTTGTATGAATAAAATGAAATAGTTCCTAAAATAATTTAGACAGATGCATATGTAATATGTAATATTATATATTTGTATGTGTAGATCTAAAACTGGGCGAAGATAGATCTTGGATGTATGAAAGGCTTGCAAGGCGAGGAGTTTTAATTGAAGATTTTAAGGAAGGGGTTACACAATTCATCTAAGCAGCGGTAAACTTATATCCTAATGGTGTTATTGCGTGTCCTTGTAGAAAGTGCAAGAACAAAAAATGGTTAACATGGAATATTGTTAGACAACATCTATTTGAAAAAGGATTCGTGGAAGACTACTTTGTATGGGAAGCCCATGGGGAGACACATGACTCAAATGGTTTAGTTTATTTGGATCAAAGTAGTTCTCATAATAATGCATCTGCAGTGCAATATGATCCATACAAATCGATGTTAGAAGATGCAATAAGGAATGAGTGTCCAACGGATTTTCACCATGGTACCAATGTAGATGGTGATCCTAGTCCCATGACATCAAAGATGTACAAAATGTTGGATACGATGGGTCAACCGTGTTTTGATGGATGTCCAATGACGCAGTTGAGTGCGATGACAGAAATGTTAAACATAAAGACTGAGATGAATTTATCAGAGGCTGCAACTGATAGAATTTCTCAATTCGTGAATCGTTTTTTTCCAACAAACATCGCAAATCGACCCATTCCAAATTTCAACAAAATCAAAAGAGAACTCTCACTGCTAGGAATGAGCCATCAATCCATTGATTGTTGTCCAAACGGCTGCATGATATATTGGAAAGCAGATAAGGAGTTAATACATTGTAAATTTTGTTGTACTGCAAGATACAACATTAGCGCGCAGACTAATAAACGTGTTCCACTAGCAAAGATGGAGTACTTTCCACTCACACCTAGACTGCAAAGACTTTATGCTTCAAATACTACAGCGGAGGATATGAGGTGGCATAAGTTTCATCACAGGGAGGAAGGGGTGATGTGCCATCCGTCAGATGCAAAGGCATGGGTTCATGTTGACAATCTCCACCCAGATTTTGCTGAAGAACCGAGAAATGTTAGACTGGGTCTATGCACAGATGGGTTCCAACCTTTCGGGCAATTCGGACAAAAATATTCATGTTGGCCTGTAATTGTGACGCCATACAATTTGCCTCCGGGTATGTGTATGAAACAACAATTTTTATTTTTAACTATATTAATTCCAGGGCCGAGGAATCCAGCAAAGGGGATTGATGTTTACTTGCAACCATTGATTGAAGAGCTCAAGGAATTGTGGGAGGTTGGAGCTATAACATATGATGCGGTTCTAAAGCAAAATTTTAATATGCGAGCCATTCTGCTATGGACAATTAGTGACCTTCCTGCATATGCCATGTTATCAGGATGGAGCACAAAGGGAAAGTTTGCATGCCCATCATGTACCGAGTTCACCGAAGCATTTTGGCTACGTCATAGCAAGAAGCATTCTTGGTTTGATAACCACAGGAAATTTTTACCATATGACCATCCATTTCGGTTAGATGATCATAGCTTTACTAAGGGTAAATCTATCTTGTATGGCCCTCCATTGCACAAAGATGGTTCATATTGTTATGATGAGGTGAGTTCCCTAATGTCTGTGACAGAATTGGGAGGTATAGAGTATAATGCAATTGCTGGAAAGAATATCGGATGGAAGAAGCGTAGTATATTTTGGGATCTCCCGTACTGGAAGGATTTGCTCATACGTCACAATCTTGATGTGATGCACATTGAGAAGAATTTCTTCGAAAATATCTTCTATACAATTTTGGGAGTACCTGGAAAGTCAAAGGATCATACACAGGGGAGGATGGATATGGAACAAATTTGTCATAGGCCGAGTTTGGAGAGGGACAATGATGGTAAATACCCTAAAGCTCCATTTACCCTTTCAAAAGAACAAAGGGATGTCTTGATCAAATGGATTGATTCATTGAAGTTCCCAGACGGTTTTGCATCTCGACTGGGGCGGTGTGTGGAAATGGATAAGCTTAAGGTATTTGGTATGAAGAGTCACAATTGTCATGTCTTTATGCAACGCCTACTTCCAGTTGCCTTTAGGGAGATGTTGCCTGATCGAATTTGGGAGGCAATTACTGAGATTAGCTTATTCTTCCGTGAGTTAACAAGAAAGACAATATCAGTTCCCGATATTGAGAAGTTAAAGGTAGATATTCCTGTGATTTTGTGTAAGCTGGAGAAGATTTTTCCACCCTCGTTCTTTGACCCTATAGAACATGTTGTTGTCCATTTACCTGATGAAGCTTTGCTTGCCGGACCTCCACAATACGGATGGATGTATCGTTTTGAAAGGTAAGTGATTTTGTTTTTATACAGTCAAGATGTGTTCATAATTAGGTGCTTATATAAACATGTGATTTGTATTACTCACTTTCTTAATTTTACTATTGTTATAGTTTTCTAGGATCAGTGTTGAAGACGAAAGTCGGAAACAAAGCTAGAGTTGAAGCTTCTATCAGGGAAGGTTATTTGCAAAGTGAAATGGGCACATTTGCAAGCTACTACTTTACAGACGATGTACCCACAAAAGCTCATCGTGTACCTAGATTTGATGACGGTGCGCTGATCAATGATGATGCCAGTGTTTCCATTTTCGCACAAAAGGCAAAAGTAATTGGTGCTAGCTCCCGGCGTTACATGGACCAAAAAGACTGAGATGAATTTATCAGAGGCTGCAACTGATAGAATTTCTCAATTCGTGAATCGTTTTTTTCCAACAAACATCGCAAATCGACCCATTCCAAATTTCAACAAAATCAAAAGAGAACTCTCACTGCTAGGAATGAGCCATCAATCCATTGATTGTTGTCCAAACGGCTGCATGATATATTGGAAAGCAGATAAGGAGTTAATACATTGTAAATTTTGTTGTACTGCAAGATACAACATTAGCGCGCAGACTAATAAACGTGTTCCACTAGCAAAGATGGAGTACTTTCCACTCACACCTAGACTGCAAAGACTTTATGCTTCAAATACTACAGCGGAGGATATGAGGTGGCATAAGTTTCATCACAGGGAGGAAGGGGTGATGTGCCATCCGTCAGATGCAAAGGCATGGGTTCATGTTGACAATCTCCACCCAGATTTTGCTGAAGAACCGAGAAATGTTAGACTGGGTCTATGCACAGATGGGTTCCAACCTTTCGGGCAATTCGGACAAAAATATTCATGTTGGCCTGTAATTGTGACGCCATACAATTTGCCTCCGGGTATGTGTATGAAACAACAATTTTTATTTTTAACTATATTAATTCCAGGGCCGAGGAATCCAGCAAAGGGGATTGATGTTTACTTGCAACCATTGATTGAAGAGCTCAAGGAATTGTGGGAGGTTGGAGCTATAACATATGATGCGGTTCTAAAGCAAAATTTTAATATGCGAGCCATTCTGCTATGGACAATTAGTGACCTTCCTGCATATGCCATGTTATCAGGATGGAGCACAAAGGGAAAGTTTGCATGCCCATCATGTACCGAGTTCACCGAAGCATTTTGGCTACGTCATAGCAAGAAGCATTCTTGGTTTGATAACCACAGGAAATTTTTACCATATGACCATCCATTTCGGTTAGATGATCATAGCTTTACTAAGGGTAAATCTATCTTGTATGGCCCTCCATTGCACAAAGATGGTTCATATTGTTATGATGAGGTGAGTTCCCTAATGTCTGTGACAGAATTGGGAGGTATAGAGTATAATGCAATTGCTGGAAAGAATATCGGATGGAAGAAGCGTAGTATATTTTGGGATCTCCCGTACTGGAAGGATTTGCTCATACGTCACAATCTTGATGTGATGCACATTGAGAAGAATTTCTTCGAAAATATCTTCTATACAATTTTGGGAGTACCTGGAAAGTCAAAGGATCATACACAGGGGAGGATGGATATGGAACAAATTTGTCATAGGCCGAGTTTGGAGAGGGACAATGATGGTAAATACCCTAAAGCTCCATTTACCCTTTCAAAAGAACAAAGGGATGTCTTGATCAAATGGATTGATTCATTGAAGTTCCCAGACGGTTTTGCATCTCGACTGGGGCGGTGTGTGGAAATGGATAAGCTTAAGGTATTTGGTATGAAGAGTCACAATTGTCATGTCTTTATGCAACGCCTACTTCCAGTTGCCTTTAGGGAGATGTTGCCTGATCGAATTTGGGAGGCAATTACTGAGATTAGCTTATTCTTCCGTGAGTTAACAAGAAAGACAATATCAGTTCCCGATATTGAGAAGTTAAAGGTAGATATTCCTGTGATTTTGTGTAAGCTGGAGAAGATTTTTCCACCCTCGTTCTTTGACCCTATAGAACATGTTGTTGTCCATTTACCTGATGAAGCTTTGCTTGCCGGACCTCCACAATACGGATGGATGTATCGTTTTGAAAGGTAAGTGATTTTGTTTTTATACAGTCAAGATGTGTTCATAATTAGGTGCTTATATAAACATGTGATTTGTATTACTCACTTTCTTAATTTTACTATTGTTATAGTTTTCTAGGATCAGTGTTGAAGACGAAAGTCGGAAACAAAGCTAGAGTTGAAGCTTCTATCAGGGAAGGTTATTTGCAAAGTGAAATGGGCACATTTGCAAGCTACTACTTTACAGACGATGTACCCACAAAAGCTCATCGTGTACCTAGATTTGATGACGGTGCGCTGATCAATGATGATGCCAGTGTTTCCATTTTCGCACAAAAGGCAAAAGTAATTGGTGCTAGCTCCCGGCGTTACATGGACCAAAATGAATCTCATGCAGTACATTCATATGTATTGCAAAATTGTCCGGAGATTGAACCATTTAGAGAGTAAGTCAAACTACTATAAATTTTTATTATTACACACATGAAATGCATTGTTATTACACACACACACTTTTAATATATTTTCGGTTCCATTACAGAGCGTTCATCAACACGACAGGATCAACAAGTGATTGTGACACCATGTTACAAAAACATTTTCCTCTTTGGTTTTACCACCATGTGAGAATTTGAAATTAACTATTTTTTAAATGAATATATTTTTATGTCATATATTTTTGATAAAAATTGTTGATTAACTTTGCTTATATTTAGGTGCAAAATGACATGACAGACCATCCACGGTGGGTTCGTGCTTTATCAGGGTTTCCTTCACCCTATGTGACAACTTACCAGACGCTTAATATAAATGGTTATAAGTTTAACACTGTTGCACGATCTGAAGACAGAACAACCTCAAACTGTGGGGTTATGGTGAAGTGCACAAGTTATGATGGATCAACACTTGAATACTATGGCCTAATACAAGAGATAATTCAGTTGGAATATCAAGATTACAAGGTGATCGTTTTCAAATGTGAATGGTTTGAACCTTCTAATAGAGGTACACGAGTCCATGCACAATACAAGATAGTTGACGTGAACATACAATATCGATTACGTACTGTAGATTGCTACATTTTAGCATCCCAGGCTGATCAAGTTGTTTACGTGTCATATCCAAGTGCAAAGAAAAGGGTCAACAGATGGTTTTCTGTTATTCAATGCATGCCAAGAGCTTTTGTGGAAAAAGACGGGGAAGGAGATTCAAATGACGAGGAGGAACCATCACAAGAGTTTCAAGAAAATGAACCGGGAATATCATTCCAAATTGAGTTAGATTTTCCAGAGCTACAAAGAAATGATGGCCACTCAAGTCAATTGCTCACATCCACCACTCCCGTGTACATGGACGATGCATTAGATGGGGCATATGATAATGAGCCCGTTGATGACAAAGACAATCAAGATTATGAAGGAAATGCTCAGGTTACATATGATGATGATGATGTGTAAAATGGTGACAACTATGATTTTTTAATAATTCGTGTTTTTTAGAATTTTTAATTATTCGTGTTATGAAAACTGGGTGTCTCGATTTGTTGCTACAGTATATTTAAATTGGTCTCTGTGTATTTTATTATTATTTCATTTTAAAATTTTGAAATATTATTTAGTTTTGTTAAACTAATAAACTTCTGTGCATAAAAGTTTATCACAATTTAGCAATGAACCTAATAAAAAAATAAGTAAATCAAAATCTAGGAAATGTTAAGTCCTAGCTCAATAGTTTTAAATCATTCGAATCATATATCGATGCATTTCATTTTTCGAATCTCGAATCCATAAATTCATATTTTATGTCCCAGACCAGACCAAACCAGACCAGATCAGACCATACTACACCAGACCAGATTTGGATAGTTATAAAATACAAAGAGACCAGACTAGACTAGTTCAGACCAGACCAATTTTTTCGGCTGTAACAAAAACATTAGGGGTCTGTTTGCAACAGCTTCTGCTTTTAAAAAAGTGCTTTTTTTAATGAAATGGGAAGAAGTGATTAAATAAAAGTTGATAGTGTTTGAGAAAAAAATGATTTTGAAAAGTAAAAGTGGGTAGTGTTTGGTAAAACAAGTGCTTTTTGTGTAATAGAAAAAGTAAAAACACTTTTGACGCGGAAGCCGAGAAAAATAAAAGTTGTAGTGTTTGAGAAAATAAGTGCTTTTTTAAAGCCAAAAGCTGAGAAGTGCTTTTTTAAAAACAGTTGCAAACCAACCCTAGGCTGGTTCCAAAAACTCCCGCTTCTCCCTCCAATTTTTTCAGTATTCCCTTTTGTGAAATTTTAAACTCCCTCCAATTCCAACCTAAATTCCAAGACTCCCTCGCCTCAGGCCCAAAATCTTCCTCTTAGCCGCAAAACCCTCCCTCGCTTATTCTGAACTTAGTCGCAGACCAGCAGCATCCAACTCCAATCGCTTATCTCCATGGTCAAGGGATAGAGAATATACGAGAATGCTTATGACTGCCTGCTAGAGATTATTTGCGAAGTCTCTACTCCAGCGCACAAGGTAATCCTCATGGTCTGCTATTTCACTTCATCTAGAAAATTTCTATGCACCGGTAATGCATTTATCCTTATTTTTGAGTTTCTCTTATCATTAAGACCGACCTCTTATTTGTTTTTATTTTCAAATTTCATTTCCCTAAGCAATTTCCTTTGAACTGGAGGGCCATGATGGTTTACAGACATGTTTACTAGACAAGGAATTGATTACTAAACACATAATGGACATCTCGAGGCTGTCCAAAGCCCTGCTGCTCCTCTCTACTTTTTGCAGCTCATTAGTTATCAAGAATTATGAGTATGAGATGTATTTGGATGTTCTTTAGTCTTTTAATAATATGAAAAATGAAACTCCTGCTTTAGAATCATTATAGATATATATTTGTCTCAACTCGAAGGAAAAAACCCAGTTTTGACAGTGGATCTTACTCACAGTTCTTGATGTGGTAGGCTAGTTTGTGTTTCACATAAAAAAAAAGGAATTGATTACTTGTGTATGTTTCTTTTAAGGTATAGACAGTGTTAAAACTTGACCATTCAAGTGTTTGTTAATTTGTCTAGATGACTAGTACACCCTGTAGCCATTCACAATCCATGAGGCTGTTAGTTACTAAGCCTGGATACACTAAACATACATTATTACTAAAATATGCATGCCAAGTGTTTGTTAATATGCCTAGATGAGTACTTCCCCTTATAGCCCTCAACAATCCAATGTGATTAAATTAATTCTAGATTGTCTCATTACTTTATTAAATTCTAATACACTATGCTACCTCTAACTGTAGATACTCACTCATTTAATTGTGAATGCTTAATTATTTAGGTAAATTTGGTGATATAAAAGCACAAACACCATGTTTCCAACCAAAGGACTGGGGGTGCCATATCAAAGAGCAGAGAAGGTAGTATCCATAAAAAACCAGCCAGTGCAAGCAACTCGAAACAGTCAGCCAGTCACTCCACACCGTCGATGAGTCACTCCACACCGTTTACCTTACTTGGAGTAAATGGAAAAAAACCTACCTCCCTAATAGGGAAACCTAGGCAACTTCACCAGCCGCCTCCATCCCAATATAATCGGCCTCGTGGTGCTAGACCTATCATTTCACAACCGACTAAAACACAAGTCATCCCAACACCACCAAATTACCAAACTTTCTCCAACAACAACCAATCTTCATCACCAGAAATGGACGGTGATCCACTAGAAGGCAGTGATTCCACAGAAAATACAAATGAAGGTGCTGAAGAGATTCCCACTGATTGGAATCCAGAAACATATAGTCATCTTAATTGGGGTAAAGCACCTTTAGACCCTTTCAAACCAGTTTCACTTGCAAAATTTGAAAAGCCTAATGTTGGTGTAAATGTAACAGGGAAGTAAGTTTCATTGTTTAGCTTAAGTACCCTTCTTTACATTTTTTTATCTGAAGTGATGTTTCTAATGTTTCTAATTTACATGCAGCCTGACAAACATAATTGTCAACAAAACCAGTTTAAAGTTTGCAAGAATTATCGGTAAGCAAGTCACGTATAATTTACACCCGGCTGGCCAGAGATGGAAATGGGTGCCAGATAAAACAAAAGATCTTTATTGGGAGCAGTTTCAGGTTATTTGTGTCTGATAAAAAGATATTAGTTATGTATTTCAAATATTCTATAGTTTCTAATATAAATATTTTTATTTCACAGAGGTTAGTTACATGGGATATCACGAAATTCAGTGTTGAACAAATAAAAGAAGGTTATGAAACTTATTTGAAGGAACAAGGCTACTCCAAGATTATGACACGAATAAGGTATCAGAATCAGTGTTGTCGATGGCGTCAAATGGCGCGCGCGCCATGCGCCATGAGGCGCAGTTTTAACCCCTGCGCTACGGAAAAGAGCTGTGGCGAGGCAAATACACATGGCGGCGCCATTGTTGCGCCTTCGCCATACCTGCGCCTTCACCATGGCGATGCGACTCCCTTTTTTTAAAAAAAGGCCGCGTCTTTGAGCTGTAAGTTGTGGCCTTTTGGCCCATAATTATCTGCGACCCATTATAACCATAAAACTGTAACAAAAACTTACTATTTTTAGCCCATATTACTAACTACAACCCTAAAGTCAATAAACACAACAAAGTCAATATCCGGAAGTTAAAGCTGCTCTGCGCAAGAAAGGGTATGCGACAAACTACAGAAAGGCAAACGACAGAAAAGCTGCTCTACACATGACTCTCATTGACTTCTTCGAACTACACAAGGTACGACTACCTCTTTAATGCTGTGTATAAATGAAGAAAAGTTCAGTTTATACAGTTACAATTTATCCAAAACTTTATATATTATATATATTCCTGAAAATGTGAACTTCATTTAATACTTCATGTGCTATGAGTATTAAATACAGAGCAGCTCAGCCTTTACTCCTTAATGTTAAATGCATAATATATTTATATGCTATGAGCCTATGATACTTTATGTCTTTATCAATTTATCACTATAAACTTTGAAATAAATTTAGTTAGATAGATAGATGCTATGATCAGATAATTTATCAATTCAAATACTTATAGCATAAGCATAGTAAAATGAAGTTTAAACTGAAAGTATTAAACTGATGCTAGTAATTTAAATAGCTAGTATTAAGATGCTAATATGATATCATGCTACATGCTAGTAAAATGAAGTTTTAAATAGTTTATCAATTTAGTTATAGCATTGTAAAATGAAGTTTTTACTTTAGAACTTAAAGTATTTAAAGTTTTAAACTGATAAACTGATACACTTTAATAAGTTAATTACTTAATTTAGTTAAAACTTTACACTTTACAGTTTAGAGTACTTGATACTAGAAGACATAACAAAATTATAACAGTTTACACTTAACGGTTTAACATATACAATTATACATAGATTTTAACTTATGAGTTATGACATTGAACTGTTTTATGTTAATTGTTATTACAGAGGTAACCGAAGAGGCAGAGCCACAAAGGATCCACAAAGGATGTCTGTTGCCTTTGCTAAGGAGTTCTGTGAGAAAGTAAAAGAAAAAAACAACAATGAATTGCGCTGCACGTACTGCGGGCACGTGACTAAAGGTGGAATTACAAGGTTTAAACAACACTTGACTGGGAAGCACCGCAACACAAAACAGTGTGAACTCATTCCCGCTGATAAGAGGGCTGAACTACAGGCGCTAGTCTTGAAAGAATCTGCTGCTAACTCAGAAAAAAATGTGTGTGAACAAACGTTTCGAAGTACATACACAGTACAGCAGTCTGGTGGGTCAAGTGCCAATAGGGTGAATGGAGATGATGACGTTGAGATAACTGGTTCTCAGTCAAATGCAGAGGGAGGTGGTGTGTCTGGGCCTATGGATAAGTTCGTATATCCAACAAAAAAACGTAAGAAGGAGGCATTGACACAATCAACAATCCCATCACACTTGAAGAAAAAAGAGAGGGATGAATATGCTCAAAGCCTTTGTTTGTGGTTTTACAGGAACAACATCTCCTTTAATGTGGTTCATGACCCTTTGCTGAAAGAAACACTAGAAAAGATTGGCAGGTTTGGAGCCGGGTTTAAAGCACCAACGTATCATGAAGTGAGGGAGACGTTCTTGCGAAAAGAGGTAGCCAAAACAGATCTGGTGGTCAGTGAGCACAAAAAATTCTGGGAATTAGATGGCTGCACTATTATGTCAGATGGGTGGCAGGATAAAAGGCACAGAACTCTAGTGAACTTGTGCGTGAATTCTAGCAAGGGGACAGTGTTCATGAAAGCCGTAGATGCTTCATCTTACAAGAAGACCGGGGAAGCACTTTTCAAGCTCTTTGATGAGTGGATTAAAGAAATAGGTCCTCAAAGTGTGATACAAGTTGTGACCGACAATGCTAAAAATTATGGATTAGCGAAGAGGAAAATAGAACAAAGATATCCACATATCTTCACAACGGGATGTGCAACTCACTGTCTTGACCTTGTTCTAGAAGACTTTTCAAAGAAGATGCCGATAGTTAGAAGAACTGTGAAGACGGCACAAGGGATTACTACCTACATCTATAGCCATACCCTTGTTCACGACTTGATGAAGGAATTTACCAAGGGGAGAGAGCTAGTTAGACCTGCTGCCACCCGCTTTGCCACTAACTTTCTGACTCTTCAAAGTCTTCTCACGCAGAAACACGCATTGAGGCAAATGTTTGCTTCACCGAAATGGTATGAAAGTGAGTTTGCAAAAACTACGGAAGGTAAATCTTGTTTTGAGTCGATTTATCGTCAAAGCTTTTGGAGAAGTGTTGCCTATGTTATGAAGATTTCTTTGCCCGTAGTGAAGGTATTGAGAATTACTGATGGAGAGGTGCCTCCAATGGGCTTTATTTATGAGGCTATGGAGAGAGCGAAATTGGGAATAAAAAACACATTGGGAGGTAAAGAAGAGAAATACATGCCTCTTTGGAAGATAATAGATAAACGTTGGAATGAGAACCTGCATTCTCCATTACATGCAGCGGGGTATTATCTCAATCCTCAATTCTTCTACCCTAATTCACGGCGAATCCTCGGAGATGAAGAAGTATGTGATGGCTTTATAAAGTGTGTGGAGAAGATGTTGCCCACTAGCATTGGAGAGAGTGTAGAGTTCTCAACTGAGATATCAAACTATACAAATGCTAGAGGAAGTTTCCGAACTAATATGGCAATGAACAATAGGGACAAACAACCACCGGGTATGCACACTTTAATTTGTCTTCTCTTTCTTATGTAAGTATTTTATTCACTTATATTTGGTAATGAGTTAACCTACTGCCTACGAACTTATTTTTATAAACTTTCTGCTAGAACTAACTTTGTAGGTTTATAGAAGTATAGAACTAACTCTGTAGGACAGCAAGTGCTAGCCATCATTTTTAGGTTTATAGAACTAACTTATTTTATTTCAACTTTCTGGAAACTGGAAAGTCCTAAACTGCAATCTATTGTCATTCTAAATTTCTATATGAAATCTATTGTCATTCTATACAATCTATACCATTTAAAATTTGAGTTTTCGTAGTCATAAAACTACTGTAATTGACTAATTGACCTACACTTGCAGTCAACTTACTGTTATGGACTGGAATAGTTAAATGATGGCTAGCACTTGCTGTAATTGACTACAAAATTGAAATGGAAAGCTGAAATTTTAAATCCTGAAATCTGACTATTGTTTTCTAGATTATTAATTAGCACTTGGTTGGAATTTTAAATATAGTTGACTGGTGGCTTGCAAATGGCTCCTCGTCTCCCACTTTGCAACATCTTGCTGTTCGGATCCTTAGTTTAACTTGCAGTGCTTCTGGATGTGAACGAAACTGGAGTGCTTTTGAAAATGTAAGTTCATAAATCTGCCTTTCATATTTAATTTAACTGTTTAACTATTTAAGTTATCTCTCTATCTGTAGTTGATTTATTATGTACTTGTTTTAGGTTCAAACCAAGAAAAGGACAAGGTTGTTGCCAAAAAAAATGAATGATTTGGTATACATTCGGCAGAATCAACGTCTTCAAGATCAAGCTTTCAGAAAAATGAAAATATGTTTGGAAGACATTGATGATTGCAATGAATGGATTGATGAAGCTGCCGAGCAAAATGAAATGGAAAATTGGGATGTAGTGGAAGAAGTTGTTGGTGTTAATGAAGTTGTTGGAAAATTTGCTTCATTAACACCAACAACTTCTTCCACTACATCCCAATTTTCCATTTCATTTTGCTCGGCAGCTTCATCAATCCATTCATTGCAATCATCAATGTCTTCCAAACATATTTTCATTTTTCTGAAAGCTTGATCTTGAAGACGTTGATTCTGCCGAATGTATACCAAATCATTCATTTTTTTTGGCAGCAACCTTGTCCTTTTCTTGGTTTGAACCTAAAACAAGTACATAATAAATCAACTACAGATAGAGAGATAACTTAAATAGTTAAACAGTTAAATTAAATATGAAAGGCAGATTTATGAACTTACATTTTCAAAAGCACTCCAGTTTCGTTCACATCCAGAAGCACTGCAAGTTAAACTAAGGATCCGAACAGCAAGATGTTGCAAAGTGGGAGACGAGGAGCCATTTGCAAGCCACCAGTCAACTATATTTAAAATTCCAACCAAGTGCTAATTAATAATCTAGAAAACAATACTCAGATTTCAGGATTTAAAATTTCAGCTTTCCATTTCAATTTTGTAGTCAATTACAGCAAGTGCTAGCCATCATTTAACTATTCCAGTCCATAACAGTAAGTTGACTGCAAGTGTAGGTCAATTAGTCAATTACAGTAGTTTTATGACTACGAAAACTCAAATTTTAAATGGTATAGATTGTATAGAATGACAATAGATTTCATATAGAAATTTAGAATGACAATAGATTGCAGTTTAGGACTTTCCAGTTTCCAGAAAGTTGAAATAAAATAAGTTAGTTCTATAAACCTAAAAATGATGGCTAGCACTTGCTGTCCTACAGAGTTAGTTCTATACTTCTATAAACCTACAAAGTTAGTTCTAGCAGAAAGTTTATAAAAATAAGTTCGTAGGCAGTAGGTTAACTCATTACCAAATATAAGTGAATAAAATACTTACATAAGAAAGAGAAGACAAATTAAAGTGTGCATACCCGGTGGTTGTTTGTCCCTATTGTTCATTGCCATATTAGTTCGGAAACTTCCTCTAGCATTTGTATAGTTTGATATCTCAGTTGAGAACTCTACACTCTCTCCAATGCTAGTGGGCAACATCTTCTCCACACACTTTATAAAGCCATCACATACTTCTTCATCTCCGAGGATTCGCCGTGAATTAGGGTAGAAGAATTGAGGATTGAGATAATACCCCGCTGCATGTAATGGAGAATGCAGGTTCTCATTCCAACGTTTATCTATTATCTTCCAAAGAGGCATGTATTTCTCTTCTTTACCTCCCAATGTGTTTTTTATTCCCAATTTCGCTCTCTCCATAGCCTCATAAATAAAGCCCATTGGAGGCACCTCTCCATCAGTAATTCTCAATACCTTCACTACGGGCAAAGAAATCTTCATAACATAGGCAACACTTCTCCAAAAGCTTTGACGATAAATCGACTCAAAACAAGATTTACCTTCCGTAGTTTTTGCAAACTCACTTTCATACCATTTCGGTGAAGCAAACATTTGCCTCAATGCGTGTTTCTGCGTGAGAAGACTTTGAAGAGTCAGAAAGTTAGTGGCAAAGCGGGTGGCAGCAGGTCTAACTAGCTCTCTCCCCTTGGTAAATTCCTTCATCAAGTCGTGAACAAGGGTATGGCTATAGATGTAGGTAGTAATCCCTTGTGCCGTCTTCACAGTTCTTCTAACTATCGGCATCTTCTTTGAAAAGTCTTCTAGAACAAGGTCAAGACAGTGAGTTGCACATCCCGTTGTGAAGATATGTGGATATCTTTGTTCTATTTTCCTCTTCGCTAATCCATAATTTTTAGCATTGTCGGTCACAACTTGTATCACACTTTGAGGACCTATTTCTTTAATCCACTCATCAAAGAGCTTGAAAAGTGCTTCCCCGGTCTTCTTGTAAGATGAAGCATCTACGGCTTTCATGAACACTGTCCCCTTGCTAGAATTCACGCACAAGTTCACTAGAGTTCTGTGCCTTTTATCCTGCCACCCATCTGACATAATAGTGCAGCCATCTAATTCCCAGAATTTTTTGTGCTCACTGACCACCAGATCTGTTTTGGCTACCTCTTTTCGCAAGAACGTCTCCCTCACTTCATGATACGTTGGTGCTTTAAACCCGGCTCCAAACCTGCCAATCTTTTCTAGTGTTTCTTTCAGCAAAGGGTCATGAACCACATTAAAGGAGATGTTGTTCCTGTAAAACCACAAACAAAGGCTTTGAGCATATTCATCCCTCTCTTTTTTCTTCAAGTGTGATGGGATTGTTGATTGTGTCAATGCCTCCTTCTTACGTTTTTTTGTTGGATATACGAACTTATCCATAGGCCCAGACACACCACCTCCCTCTGCATTTGACTGAGAACCAGTTATCTCAACGTCATCATCTCCATTCACCCTATTGGCACTTGACCCACCAGACTGCTGTACTGTGTATGTACTTCGAAACGTTTGTTCACACACATTTTTTTCTGAGTTAGCAGCAGATTCTTTCAAGACTAGCGCCTGTAGTTCAGCCCTCTTATCAGCGGGAATGAGTTCACACTGTTTTGTGTTGCGGTGCTTCCCAGTCAAGTGTTGTTTAAACCTTGTAATTCCACCTTTAGTCACGTGCCCGCAGTACGTGCAGCGCAATTCATTGTTGTTTTTTTCTTTTACTTTCTCACAGAACTCCTTAGCAAAGGCAACAGACATCCTTTGTGGATCCTTTGTGGCTCTGCCTCTTCGGTTACCTCTGTAATAACAATTAACATAAAACAGTTCAATGTCATAACTCATAAGTTAAAATCTATGTATAATTGTATATGTTAAACCGTTAAGTGTAAACTGTTATAATTTTGTTATGTCTTCTAGTATCAAGTACTCTAAACTGTAAAGTGTAAAGTTTTAACTAAATTAAGTAATTAACTTATTAAAGTGTATCAGTTTATCAGTTTAAAACTTTAAATACTTTAAGTTCTAAAGTAAAAACTTCATTTTACAATGCTATAACTAAATTGATAAACTATTTAAAACTTCATTTTACTAGCATGTAGCATGATATCATATTAGCATCTTAATACTAGCTATTTAAATTACTAGCATCAGTTTAATACTTTCAGTTTAAACTTCATTTTACTATGCTTATGCTATAAGTATTTGAATTGATAAATTATCTGATCATAGCATCTATCTATCTAACTAAATTTATTTCAAAGTTTAAAGTGATAAATTGATAAAGACATAAAGTATCATAGGCTCATAGCATATAAATATATTATGCATTTAACATTAAGGAGTAAAGGCTGAGCTGCTCTGTATTTAATACTCATAGCACATGAAGTATTAAATGAAGTTCACATTTTCAGGAATATATATAATATATAAAGTTTTGGATAAATTGTAACTGTATAAACTGAACTTTTCTTCATTTATACACAGCATTAAAGAGGTAGTCGTACCTTGTGTAGTTCGAAGAAGTCAATGAGAGTCATGTGTAGAGCAGCTTTTCTGTCGTTTGCCTTTCTGTAGTTTGTCGCATACCCTTTCTTGCGCAGAGCAGCTTTAACTTCCGGATATTGACTTTGTTGTGTTTATTGACTTTAGGGTTGTAGTTAGTAATATGGGCTAAAAATAGTAAGTTTTTGTTACAGTTTTATGGTTATAATGGGTCGCAGATAATTATGGGCCAAAAGGCCACAACTTACAGCTCAAAGACGCGGCCTTTTTTTAAAAAAAGGGAGTCGCATCGCCATGGCGAAGGCGCAGGTATGGCGAAGGCGCAACAATGGCGCCGCCATGTGTATTTGCCTCGCCACAGCTCTTTTCCGTAGCGCAGGGGTTAAAACTGCGCCTCATGGCGCATGGCGCGCGCGCCATTTGACGCCATCGACAACACTGATTATACTACATATTATATACTACACAGTATCTATTAAAAGAACATATTATGTGCATCATGGAAAATAATGTGCAGTGCTAACATGTAGTGTTTCACATTTTAATTAGTTGTGACATCTCTTGTGCCACATGTAGGACTGGTATGATGGCAAAAATCTCACTCATTATGGAAGTCCATTTCCTCTTGATTTTTGGCTTTCGGTGATTTGAAGAAATGTCTTTTTAATTGGACTGAAGAGACTGCAAAAAAAATATCACAGTATATAGCTAAATAATAACCTACAAAGCAGAACTTAAAGTGATGGAATACAGATAAATGGAATGTCATCATCTAACTGCAAGTATTAATTAGCATTATAGAACTGAAATCAATATTGCATGTATTCGGAACTGAAATCAATATTTAACTCTGTTTCTAGTTAAATACGGAGTCTAATTTGTACTACGTATGTACTAGCATCTTGGACGTGCGGTTATGGAAAGATAGTGGGACTCGTGTACATCCACATGTGCACTACGTTGGTATAATTTTAGACAATAAATATACATGGCGGGAACAGTTGTTATCTCATGATTCCGTTTTTAAATTATATTAATATAGATAGATTATGAGAGCAAGAAAAAAGAGTTTTGGATTGAAATTTCAGTTGCTTTTATTAGTTATGTTTCTCCAGATTTGTGAGGCATGAAACAACTGGCTTTGATTTCTATATTCAGTCATCTAGTCCATCTTTCTTGTTTTACATCTTGTATAATTTGCAGCCTGTTATATTTGTATAAATTTTTGTGTATAGGAAGTTGTGGATAAATTGTGTGCTGATTTTGAAGATGATGTCCAAGAACAATCTCAATCTTCTGCTCAAGAGGAAACCTCAAGGACATCCAATGTTACATCTTCTCAATTGCATGCCAAGTACCTAGAAGTTGTTGGTTGCAAAAAGAGAAAAGTGCGTGGAACGGGAAGCTATTCAAAGGCATTTCTTCATCATGTGAAGAATTCAAGTGCAAAACGATCATGTTCAAAAGCTCGTCGGATGCATCACTTTTGCGTCACTTGGGACACACACTTGAGGAAATAGTTGACTTCAAATGGTGATGACTGATCCCCAGAAATGCCACTTGTTGATGATGATTTGCAAGAAGAGGATCCTGATTCACAGCCCAAGACCTTTGAAGAAATATGGCTTCCATTTCTGAAATCAAGAGGAATTGATCTTCCAAATTGTTTCCCAATACTAGAGTCTTCTAAAGACTCCCCAGAAGACTCCCCAGAAGACTCCCTTGAAGACTCCCTTGACTCTATGGATGGATAATAGTCTCATTAGAACATTGTGAAGTAGTAATTTTGATTTTGTGTTTATGTATGATGATCTAGATTATTTAAATGAACATGAGATCATGAATATTTTGATACTAGCTAGTTTATATTCATGATTTAGATCATGAATATTTTTTGTTACTAGCTAGTTTATATGAAATTAATTAAGGTTTTTATTGGATATATTTTGATTGCATACTAATATATATTTCATTGGCATCTTAATTTGAGTGTCAGGTTCTTATCTAGCTTTTTATATTGTTTTAGTTTATTATCTCATTTATCTGATTTATTATAGAAATCTGATGCAATTAAAAATTTACTAATTAAAAAAACATTAATGACGGATTTTGGTGGCGGAATATCGGACAGTAAGAATGGTGGCGGAAATTTCGCCACTAAATGCCGTCACTGGTTAGTGTCCGACTTTTTATTGCGACACTAAACGAATTAATGTCCAGATTTCAGTGTCTGACAATCCGACACTAAAATCCGACACTAACACTATTGCTGGCTGTTTTGCTGTCCGATAATCCGACGCTAAAACGCGAAAATTCTAGTAGTGTTGGCCTCAGTGACGACGCGGACCACCACCGTGACCGCTGCCTCCCATCAATCACATATATCTTTTTATGTCCAGATCTGCTAACCTAGTCGCTGCCCTCCTCTGCACCTGGTTGCTTGCTGATCATCGTTGAGCTGAAGACGGTCGTACCCACCGAGCGATGAAGTTCAACCTTAGCTTCGGGCATACTTCAATGCGGACTTGAAGAAGAAGGTGATTTCAAAGCGAAGGTGATTTCAACGCGGGCGTCAGGCGACATAGTCTATCCTTAGCTACACAAGAGATGGCGTCTGAGTGTGCGATGACTGTATGAAACGGTGGAGGCGAAACGGCTACTTGGACAACGAGACAAGAGAGACGAAGAGGTAATCTTTGTACAAGCTTTGAACCTCGGAGATCAATGCATCCGTGATTATCGATGCAGCGAAACCATACAAACCCGCCAAGGAATTAGGTTTTAGGGGGTATTTTTGACATTACATGTTATTTTAGTTTCCTTTTTGTCTCACATGAAATTTAGTCCTACTTTTGTCTAAACAAAAGTTAGATCTCTTATTTTTGTCATTTTTTCATAATTGTATCGTAAAATTGGTATTATGCTATGGAGTATTACTTATATATCCCTATATGAAGAATAAAAAGGTCAAATAAACTCTTATTTAGGAGGCTTTATCCGGCCGTTGCCATTTGGGGCGGTTCACGGTCGATTTTTTTTAATCAAAATTTTTAGTATATTATTCATTAAGTCTAGTTTACTCATACTAAATTTTAGCTAAAACTTCAATCGGAAAGGCATTGAAATGAATTCTTGAAAATAACTGTGCAATACACGGTTGCACGCAAAGAAAAGCTTACAGACAAAACTAGGAAGAACTATTGATTATATCCATTTAAATTAGAAACAATTATAAAAATACCCGGATATATAGTGAGTTGTACACCCTTGTGTTCGATATAATTTACAACAAAGTATCGAGGTGAAGGATTTTTAAAGCATTATAATTTTTTATCGTGCCTGAAGTTATAATCTCAACTTTATCACAAGTTGCAAAAATTAAACGATGTTAATTCAGATTCAACGGACTCCCATAATATTCTAATTAACCGATGTGACAAATTAAATATTCTTATACTACCTCCATAATATATATATATATATATATATATATATATATATTCTCAATTAAAAGTATGTGAGATAAGGAATAGTGAAAGAAGATATAAAATATTGAGGATAAGATTGGAAGTAATGAAATTGTGTGGTGAAATGAAGGATAAGTTCAAAAAATAGTTATAATAGTGTATTATTTTCAAAATTATTAAGGGTATGATGGAAAATTTTAAAAATAAAAAGATATAATGTTACAATTTTAAAAGAAAAATGAAAAAACATGAATGTTAGGGAAGGAATATTATAATGTGCGCTTTAAAAGTTTTGGTACACCCAACAATACACCCGTGGAAATGGAAGCGACTGTAGCTTTGAATATCTCCCACTTATCTTTCTTTTTATCCTTTTTACCTCGAACTGAATCAAAAGGATATACGACCAACACATGTGGGGGACCGATCCCCAACCCACTCACCTCCCATCGAAAAGTACTCCTCATTTCCCTCCCCAATAGCCAGCCCCCCTTTCCGCCGTGTCCTACCTCGCCCTACCGTCACAGTGGCCGCCTCCACCGCCGCAAAATCTCTTGAATCACCGCCCTGAGGATGGCGAGGCTCGTGGTAGAGGTGCTGGAAGCAAGTGATCTCATGCCCAAGGATGGGCAGGGCTCCGCAGATCCATACGTGGAGGTGGAATTCGATGGGGAGCGCCAGAAGACCAAGACGAAGAACAAGGATCTATGCC